TGTTTTCAGGATTTGCTTTGAAGAAAAAAGATCTGAGGCTGAATGAAGAGAGATTGAGAATCAGCATGATTTATTGTCTGGTATTATTTCTTTTTCTTTTTCCAGACATGTACTAACAAGGGGTTTTCAAACTGTTCTGTGTTATCTGTATTTTCTTATTCTAAAAATTGCTCTTAATTGCAGGCAACTAGCATCATTTGATCCAATCTAACACGATGCTTTTCTTTATACATATACTTGCAAAGAAATTCCATTGAAGTATGGTTTGTGGCTGTTTGCCTTGATATGTTGGAATAACTTTAAGAAGAAGAAAAAAATGTTTTATATCATTTTATATAATTGCTAATTCCATTTCAAAATCATGCCTGGGAGAAACTAGATGCATTCAGTTACATACAGAAACAGTCAGGGGTGGGATTCAAATTTTTTAACAAGCGGTTCTGTGGGTGTGGCTTAGTTGGCAGGCGTGGCTTGGTGGTCATGTGACTGGGTGGATGTGGCTTGGTGATCATGTTATTGACTGGGCGTGGCCAAATCAATATCACTTACATTGAGGAACGCATCTCCTCGTCTGGCCTCTCATGACTGTGGGGATGCTGCAACAATAGTAAGTGTGAAAAATGGTCAAACGTCACTTTTTTCAGTGGCATTGTAACTTTGAATGGTCACTCCACACAAGCAAAGTACCAGCAAAGGAGGGGGAAAAAACTCCAGAGACATTCCTGAGACAGGAAGTCTAGTCCTGCCATGAATGTAATAAGGGTTAACGGAGAGGCAGTTTCTGTAAGCAACACCAGAATGTTTCCTTCCTGCCTTCCTTACAGGATTAGGCCAATAATTTATTCTAACAACCGGTTCTCTGAACTGCTTAGAATGTTAACAACCAGTTCTAGCGAATAGATGCAAACTGGTAGAATCCCACCCCTGGAAACAGTGCAAAGAAGAGCAACTAAGATGATTAAAGGCCTAGAGACTAAAACATATGAAGAACCGTAGCAGGATTTGGGTTTGGCTAGCCTAGAGAAAAGAAGGACTAGTGGGGACATGATAGTAGTATTCCAGTATTTGGGAGGCTGCCACAAAGAGGAGGGGGTCAACTTATTTTCAAAAGCCCCGGAGGACAGGACAAGAAACAACGAATGGAAACTAATCAAGAAGAGAAGCAACCTGGAATTAAGGAGAAACTTCCCAAAAGTGAGGACAATGAACTAGTAGAGTAGCTTGCCTACAGAGGTTGTGAGTGCTTCATCACTGGAGGTTTTTAAAAAGAGACCAGACAATCACTTGTCTGAAATGGTATAGGTCAGTGGTGGCAAACCTTTTTCGGCTCCTCTGCCAATAATTGCATGCACTCTCGTGCACTTGTGCTCATGTGCCAGCACCCAGAAGGCAATGTGTGCTGGCTCCACCAGCCCTTTGCATGCATGCGTGATCCCCTTGCCATGTGCCGCGCATATGCGCGTGATTTCCCCCACCATGCGTCATGCATCTCTGCAGATGTGCGAGTGATCCTCTTGATGCACGCTGCTCATCTGCGAATGCGTGCACGATCCCTCCAGTGCATGCTACGCATCTCTACGCATACGCATGTGTTTCCTGCGCCCCCCCTGTGCATGCGTGCCAGATACCTGGCAATCAGTTGTTGGGTGGCAGCAGTACACAGTAGGGCTCTTCCGGGCAAGCTCTCGCGTGCCAGGGAAAATGGATCTGCATGTGACTTCCAGCACACATGCCATAGGTTCGCCATCATGGGTATAGGTTCTCCTGCTTCAGCTGGATTAGAAAAACAACAAGGTCCCTTCCAGCTCTCCTCTGATGGATATATAGGGCTCCCAGGAGCTAATTAAGTTATTCGATTTTTATTCCAACTTCAAATCAAAATGGTGTTCACACCTAGCATCCCCATCTCCCTTTTTTTTTGTAACAACAAACTGTGAGCTAAGCTAGGCTGAAAGAAGGTCGTCAAGTCAGTTTTCATTTTCATCTTCAAAGGAAGCCTGGAAGTCATGGTCTCCTGATTTCTAGTCCAGCATCTTATCCATCACAACAGACAGTCTTTGGGGGATCACAAAGTCATCTCAGCCAACCACCAGCCCATCTCACCCCTCCCGTTGAGGATTTCTGGGGTCGTGATTTCCCAAATCTGGACATCCCAATTGTAGAGATTGGTGGGAAAATGGGAGAAAGGAATTTATTTTAGAATTTATTCTGGTCAGGAAATCGCAGCTGAACTGTTTAATGAATTTATTGTAAACCAATCCCAAATTTTCAAAAGTGCTCTCCTCTTGTTGACTGAAGAAGAAATATTGAATTCGGCCTTTTCCAATATTTTTTCAGTGAGCTTTATACACAGAAGCATTCTTTAATGATGTGGCAGAGAAACAATTTGGGTGGCACAAGCATAATTAAAACAGAGTCAGCTTAATTAATTGGTATGCTTGCCAGAAGTTAAATTGTTCAGTGTTGTTCTGTCAAAATGACATGTTAATAAGGACATCCGCTGAGCCGTTGACTACTATTAGGCCCATAGCTTACCACTACATTTACCAGCTCTTAATTTCCAGTTCCACATTTCCAGAAAATGTGACTATTGTTCAACCATGTTGTTATGAGAGACCTTTTGCAGGAAAATGCAACCAGTTAAATTACAAATGAGATGTTCATTTTCCAGGGGAGTTAATTATAATGTCACATTATAGTTGGATGAAGTGACTTACGTACAGTAAATATACCTTAATCTGCTCTCATTCTGTTGCTGCTTTATTGATCTTTATACAATATGTAACTTGAAGTATAGTTTGAAATAGTTTAGATTTTTGGATAACCTCCCTCTCACTTCCAGAGCCCCAAATTCTGATTTCTTGGCAGGCTTCGTATCTGCTAAGACCCTTTGAGTTTCCACGATCTGTTTACCTTAACATCTGAAGAGTCTGTTTCCTCTGTTTCAGATTCTTTCCAATTATAGTCCTGTAGGGTCAGATCCTAAACACTCAAGTTAACTTCTTTGTTTCTCACAGCAAATCCTTATTAGTTTGCATCAGTTGATTCTCAATTCTACTATAACTTTCTGAGGTAACATATATTGCTACAGCAAGACTGTGCTGTCCAGACAGTATGTAGGTAATTGGGAATTGAGATAGTTAAGTTAGAATTGGGAGCTGTCCCCTTAAGGGAATGCCTCATGGTAAATGTAGTTAATGAATGCATCATGGTAAATGAAGTTCATGTCATGTGGTCACATCTGTAATCCTGATTGGTCACTGAATTGACCCTTGGTTGGTTTGGGGGAGTTTCCTTTACTCCTGCTTGGACCCCAGCAGTGTGCTGGTGTCTCACCCTTTGCTCCATCATTATGGGATGGAAGATCACTATACTTTCACACTATGAAGTCAGCTGTGCAAAGAGTTGGAATTAGATGAATCTCGACATAACTGTGAGTTATATCTTGAGAATGCCTTGTGATCCAATAAAGAAACTTTGTATGGAAGCCTTTGTAGAGTTGCCTGTCTGTCTTTATATTCAGCCAGCAATTTTAAAGACAGAACATAGGCTAATATCATTTAAGAAGTATTCTTTCTTCCTTCTCTATTTTCTTCCCTTTTTTCAAAGTTGTAAATTGTGCATCCTAGACTTTTCCAGCTAATATGTTTGCTCTTTTAGTATTTGAGTATTTATGAAGAATATACTTATGGGTAGAATGTATTGGATGTTAATATTTAATTATACTATTTCTGTTAAAAAAAAGCCCTCACAATGCTTTCGAAAATATTAAAAATTCAGATTGCCATCTGGACTTGTAAAAGCTCCAGGTAGGTTTGTATATAATAAAATAAATGGTTCAGAAACATTGCTTTCTTTTGCCCTTCAGTTTTGAGTACCTGTAGGCCATGAGCTTTGGTTTATAATGACATTTCTTTCATTGTTAATGATTGAAACCAATTAAAGGCAGAGGGAACAAAACACGATTGTTTCCTGCTCTCTTTTCGATCTTAGTTTAATATTAATATGTACCGGTATCAAATGACCTCTTTTCTCAGTCACTGACCTGAACACTAGCCTTTAACTGATTTCCTTTATTTAAATTAAACATCTAGAAATTCATCCAGAATTTAAAAGACTAATTTAAAAAGGTTCAGGTATAACATTTGTGGTATAAAATTCCTTCTCCTTAACAGTTTGATAGAATGAGCTGATCTGCTATACCTCAAATTTCAAAACAACATTAAAATATGGTATCTTCAGCTGAAGAAGAAATTATACAAATGTAATTTGAGTACTAAAAATGTCTATCAGTAATAAATTTTGACTACTATTCCCAAAGGACCTTTCGGCACAATTAATAATTAGAAAGTGTTATTCTGAAAAAAATGCTCTTATTGTGCTGATTTAAGGGGAATCCAATGTCTTTTATCCTCACCATCTTTCCAAATTCTTGGGAACATCAGTTGGAGTACTACTGAAATGAGCTAGGCTGTTATTGGAGATTAATTCACACCACATGCTAAGTATGGAGCCCTTCAAGGTCATTCTTCATCCAGTAATTAATCTGTAAGCCTTCCTATATAAAAGATCCAGTATTTTAAGAACAATCAGATCCAAACCATTCTTGGAAGAAGGGACTGTCTCCACTTTAATCCCCACTCCACTTACCTTCTCTCCATCACTGCCCATTTGGCAGTTTGCCTACCCATCACCTCCTGCCGTACCTCCTATATCACACACCACTACAGGATTCTTCTTTCATGCCAGGGCAGTTGGGTCCTTCTTTCATAAAGGGAAATCCAGGCTGTTGTGCAAAAGAAGGTGGTGGCCTGAGCACGAAAGGAGGCCCTGCCCTTCTAGCATGCTCAATGACCTGTGGGATATTTCCATAGCACTCCTTGCTGTAGCTGGGATGGTAACCCCAGTAGAGGGGTGGCAAGTGAAAATGACAAAGGTCAGTTGGGCTGGTGGGGTTTTGGAACCAAAATACTAGAGGACTGGTGGAGGGCACTGGGGGGTGGGGGAGAGAGTCATAAATGTAGGAGGGGATGAATTGCGTTCACATGACCACGGGGCTCCTGTGACACCTGGAAATTCAAGAACCAATTATAAGTCCCTTCATTCAGCACAGTTGTAATTTCCAATGGTGGCTAAACAAATGGTTGTTTTTGATAGCAAGGGCTATCTGAATTCAGAATAATTGTGGAATGTTCATCAGCAGGAACAGTGGGAAAGAGTTTTGGCAAGACTTTTTTTCCCCCAGAGAGCGGCCCAGATTAAGAGAGGAATTGGAGAGAGGACGAGGTTCAAAGTAGTCATGCCTAGAATATCTCTGGATATATCTAGCATATGAGTGTTATACTGTAGTTTCAGTATGGCAAGATTCCATCCATTAGGTGTATGCAAATAAGGGATTAAACTCAATTGGATTTTACTATGTCATTTTTGAGTTTAGGATTGACATTATAATTAAACATATTCAATTGATCATATGAGTTGTAATTTTCTATCATTTGAACTTGCATACAACTAAAAGAGTTTGAAAATATTTATTTAGATGATACATGCAGATGCTAAGCGAACATAATTTTGGCAGAGGCATTCTCTCAAGTAGAAAAATACTGTTTTTTCACTACTTATAAGATAGTTCATCATAACTGCTAGATCTGCACAGGGCTTTGGGTTCAGAGACAAAATGGTGTTCAGAATTTGCAGCAGCAGCTGCCTGCAACTTCTCAAACCAAATTTCCTGAGGATTATGCACAGCCACACAATTCCAGAGAAAGATGCAACCTCTTTAAGAAGTTATAGACAGGGGCTATTTCTTATCCTCAAATGCTCTAAATCATCACTTTCTCTTCAAGTCTGAAAGTCCACAGAGCCCTGCCGTCTATAGTTTCTGCTGCTGGTTAACTTCAAATCCTTTTTAATCAATTAAAACATGAACAATGGTCACATCAATATTTATTTATGTACTTCATTGTTAATACATCTAAAAGTATCAATATTCATTATCTACTTATCATAGATTCAGGCAAGTCTCCTGAATAAAATGGGGAGGAGTGTTGTAAGGAATACTTGTTTTGACTATTTGAATCAACATTCTTCTTTCTGATCAGCAGTTTTCAAAGTGTGGTCTGGGGATTCCAAGATACTTTCAAGGAGTCCTTTAAATCAAATAAATGTTTTAAAATCTCTCTGTTTTAATTTCTAATGCAGTAAATATTGGCATAAGCCAATAATTCCCATATAAATAATTAAATAATTAAAATAATTAAATTATTTAGTAAATAATTCCCATAAGCCAAAGCTCTTTGGGATCTTCAATCTTTTTAAAGAATATATTGGGGCTTTGGAACCAAAATATTAGAGGACTGCTGCTGTAAATAGCACCTGCCCGACTCTGCCTGGTTTTGCAAAGAAAGCCAGTCAAGGTAGATTTTCATTTGAGTGGCAGACTACCAGAGAATGCCAGAGGTATTGAAATTGAAATGGAAATAAATTTATAGGTAGTCCTTGTTTAACAACTGCCTCATTTAGCAACCATTCATAGTTATGAATCTGGTTTGCATGATTGCTAAATGAGATAATTGCTAAACAAGAAGCTAAGATGGTGACGAAAAAGTAACTTTGTAAACAATCGTTGCATTTACAACCTCTGCAAGTCTGTAAAGCAAAGGAAAGCTGAAGTTAAGATTGTAATGGTATTTGTGGTTCCTTTAGCAACTACTTCACTTAAAGTCCAAATCATTGGTCTCCACTGTAGTCATGAAACAAGGACTCCTGTAGCAAAAAAAAAAAAAAGCAACTCATTTCCATATTGTTGCCAGGAAAATTACTTGAATGCATCCAGGAAGGCTTATTTTGACTTTCTTATTTTCAAAAAGAATTGTTTGGCACCTTATTACACTAACTGTCCACCCAGGATACACTGTATTTTTCTTTCCCTTGTTTTTTAAATTCATTTCTATATTTTTCCACTGAGCCCCACTAAGACACCGCTGCTGTTTTATTTCCAATGCCCAGAATTGCTCAACTGATTCTCTTTCAGATAAAATGCACTTGGTCCAACAGATCAGAAACATTGTGTCAAAAAAGGGAGCAAAATAAATACGAAGTTTTGAAGTATTGCAATGAAGCTACCCTATTGCCATTTCAAATGACCTGGGTAAAAAAATAATCACCTAAAAGGACCCTACCAAAAGAGATCATCAAAAATGCTGGACTACAATATACTTCAATTAGGTTATGGCCAACAACAAAGGACGTTTCTGATTATCAAAAGAAAGGATGGGAGAATCACCCAGCTCAGCCAGCTGGCTGCAGTGGGAGATTGTCCCTCAAAGGGAAACTGTCAAGAGGCTTCACTTCCCATCATAGCCACACATTGTAATTACATGTAGTCCTCAATTTACAACCACATTTGAGCCCAACATTTATGTTCCTAAGTGAAACATTTGTTAAGTGAATTTTGCTCAATTTTACACCTTTTGTTGGCCTTAGTTGTTTAGTGAATCACTGCAGTCAGTAACACGGTTGTGAAGTGAATCTGTCTTCCCCATTGACTTTGCTTGGCAGAAGGTTGCAAAAGGGTCCTGCAACTGTCCTTAAACACATGCCAGTTGCCAAAGTGTCCGAATTTTGACCACCTGACCCCGGGGAATGTTGAACTGGTCATAAGTGTGTAAAAGATGATAAGTCACCTTTTTTTTCAGCGCAGTTGTAACTTAGAGCGGTCACTAAACGAACTGTTGAGGGCTACACCACTACTCCATGCGGAGCAGCGACCCCGAAGTCAGTCCCAACCGAATTTAGTCCCTTAGGAAGCGTGCAGGGCGCTTTGCACTCCAGATCTCTGGAAAAACTGCTCTCGCGAAAGGGGAAAAGATTGCAAAAGGAAAAGGCAGAAAAGTCTGGCAAAACAACAAAACAATCCAGCGGCACTACGGCTTTTCTTCTCCGCCCCCAAGCGGCTGGAGGAAGAGCGAGAGAGGCTCAAGGCCACTGTCTTCTCCCCCGCTCCACGCTGGGGTCTCTCTGTCTCTTTCTCGGGCTGACTGGCCAACATGGCCACGCACGTTTTTCTCACGGGACCCCCAGGTAACCCCCCCCCCTCTCTCTCCGCCAAGCGAGAACGCCTGAAATAGCGGGCAAGCACACGGCCCATAGCGGGGACGAGGTAGCGGGAGGAGCTGGGAGAGAACGAGAGGCCTTTCTGGGGCCGCCGGGCTGTGCTTCGGCACGCGGCCAGCGACGACCCGTGCAGGAGCAAGTCGGGGTGTGGGGGGAATCCCGGAGTAGAGCCGCCGAGAGAGACACTTGCAGATTGGCTTTCGCAGCGCCTTATTTCCGGCTATGGGTGGGTGGAGAGAGAGAGAGAGCGGGGTGTTTCTTCCGAGTTAAAATATGCATCGGAGGATCAGTTTGTCCCTTTGCATACAGCGGTTTTTGCTCCCGATACGATTGCGAGCCGCGCTGATCAGACCGAGGCCCTTTTGTAGATCAGACCGCGGTGTTGCGCCCAATTTATGCCCCCCTCCCCCAACGACGGAAACGCCGTGGAACTTATTTTTGGAATGAATGAGATTTACATGGTGGGCTCACAGCGCCATTTCTTCTTAGTTAGTTACAGATCATTTGTCCCTGGAATAGATTCCTGAAAGTCTTCAGTTGTAAACTATAGAACCAGTCGTCTATACTCTCTCTCTATTGATAGGATTATACAGGATGACGGCAGCTTGGCTTGGGGTAGAGTGGAGATTATATTAATAAAAACAAGCTTTTATTGGGTAGTGTTCATAGGAAGTGGAAATTAAGAGGAAATCCCTTCTTAATTCTCTCTGGAGAAGGACTTGACAGAGATAGCAACAGCAAAATTCTCTGGAAGATGTTTTGTTTCTCTTGATGGACTTCAGAAATGGATGCATGGAAATGCCTGGCCAAAATGGCAGTGGATTTCTCTTCAGTATACTGTTTCTCTTCAGTTTATAGTTCTCTGCTTGCAGAGAGGCTCAAATGTGACAGTGGGTCTCCAGTTCCCAGTATTAACTACACACCCTTCATTGATGCAAAAGAGGAATGCTCCCGTAATATAGGATCTGCCATTATCTTGTGTGTTTATTTATTCATGTACAAGTCCCTATTTTGAGTAACTTGTAATCTGAACAGGTATATTTTGACATAGGAATTAAGGTGTTGGACTAGGGCTAAGGAGGCCTGTATTCAAATCCAGCTTCACGAGGAAAATTGGGCTAGCTATTCTTCCCCACCATCCACTTTGCAAGGTTATATACACACACACACACACACACACACACACACACACACACACAATATATCTCCATGCTTTGAGTTCCTGGGGAAAAGGTAGGATAAATCTCAAAATAGGAAAGGAATAAAGCAGGACATATCTGTGAATAAGCAGAGAAAAGATATGATTAATCCAATTACACATATTTGCTTGGCTCCTATAAATTAGGGGTTTGGCATCTCCAAGGCACATTGTACCTGCAGGGCTTCTAATGTGAACTCTAATGATTCTGCCTATTTTTCCTTGGGAAAATCAGGGCGAGAATGGCATTTGCTGGCAGCAAACACAACTGTTCTCAATACAGTTTTAGAGGAAAAGTGCTTTTCACTAGAGTTGACAAGTGGGGAGAGAGAGTTAACTCCCTTTCACATTCCCACATGGACAAGTTACTATCTGGAGGCTGAGGTTCTTTTTAAGCCTGCTGCCTGGTATTGTCTGGTATACTCTGGCTGTTAAAGAATCAACTCAAGTTTGGTCTTCTGAGTAGAGTAAGGGATTAAGATAGAGGATCTAGAAGGCTCTTATAATTTCCCTGAAAAAGGAACTGTTTGGAGAAGGATTTAGAGGGAACCAAGAACAAAGCCTATAGCGATAGGAAATAAGTACTAGGGTTTCAGTTCTGACCTGCAAGATGTCAGCAAAAAGATACAGAAAACTCCAGTTCTTCGCTACAATCAACCGGTCATCTGGAGTTTTGCAGAGCAGATCTGGTAGTCCTAATTACTACCAGCTACAGAACATTAGTGGAGGCATTCCAGAGAGACTTGAGAGTTATTTTGAGAAGAGAAAGCCAGTTGGATTTTCTACTCTTATGACCGCATGATTTGTATGATATATCTGATCCCCCTTTCTCTGATAAATTACTCACCTCCATGGCCTGAAATAAATCGGAATAACTGAGTGATATTGTCTCTTTCTAATTGGTGACTTTAACTTCCTTTCCCAATTCCTTGTTTTTTTGCCAGAGAAATTGTGGTGACATACGTCCCTGCTGTTTTTCACACACATATACACAGATAGTAAGCCTGGGTGGGGAAGTAAAAACCAAACTAACTCCAGAGAAGGGATGTTTGTAGAGACCCAATTTTTGTAGTGTTTCTGTTTCAAATGGGGAAAAGATTGATTAACTATCCCAATAAGCTTTTTGGACAATAGTTCAAAGATCTTAAGGACTATAATCAACCCTCTTAGAATTAATCAGGTATTCCAGTTTTCCTGTTCACATGACATATTGCCCCCACCCCAACAAATTTAACTCTGTTATGTGAATGGGGTGCACATTTTTTGGCATTAGGAGAGGAAAAGATTTACAGAGTGAATGACCACACTGAATTAGCCAGGTAAAAACAAAGATTCAATAGTCCTAAAATAATATTTGATTTGTTTTATATAAATACTATTGAAAGTGAGGCTTAAGATGCTTTTTGCTGTAGGAATTGGAAAAACAACATTGATTCGGAAAGCTGCTGAAATTTTGAAATCATCTGGTATCCCCATTGATGGATTTTACACAGAGGAAGTGAGAGAACGTGGCCAGAGAACAGGTTTTGATGTTGTCACTCTGAATGGAAGAAGAGGAATTTTATCTAGAGTTGGGTAATGAACTTTTAAAATATATTTTCTGGCACTTTAAAAAAAAAAACACCGAACCCTCAGTGGAACGCTTATGTAACATCATTATAGTTCACAAACATGAAGAGCAGAAATTTCTGAAATGGCAGATAAGATTGTCGAATTATCATGTAGTGACCATTATGCTAATATCTAAATTGGTCTTAACTTATGGATGAAAAATTAGCCCATAATTGAATACTGTGTAACTTGTGATATGTAGGAGAGATATATTTAGCACCACCCCAAAATAATGTGCAGTACTAATGACTGAAGAAATTAGCCATTTTAGAGGACAGTAGGCAGTCTTCATTCTGCTCTATCATCTTAAGGCCATTATCTCTCTGAATACCATTTGCTCCTTCAAACAGCATTTTGTGGCTCTGTTTTTATATTTTATTACTTAGATAGGGATGTTAGCAGCCATCTGGATCATTTAAGAAAGGTGAGGAAACATTAGAAGGAGAAGAGGCATGGCAACCAGATTGGAGGCTCTAATACTAACATAATTAAAACCATACATGTAAATATATCCCACGTTGTTTTATTGTCTATTTTTCCCCTGAAGATCATTACTGTTTGTGAAACATATACGGCTTTTGATTTGCTCATAGTTTTGATTATAGTTGGTCAGATAAATATTTGGCTGTGTGTATTTTCTTTATATAGCTCTGGTCATTCAGCAGCAAGGCATGAATATCGCGTTGGCCAATATGTTGTAGATCTAGCTTCATTTGAACAGTTGGCTCTTCCTTTGTTGAGAAACGTAAGTTACATAGTAGAACTGTATGTTTTCTTGAATAATGTATACGTTTTCATGAAAATGCATAGGCTGTATTTTATGAGGCTTTAAATTTGCACATGAAAAGTGGTGGCTCTCAAAATAGCGTGATCATGCTTATTCTTATTCACACATTTGTGAATGTTTATTCACTGACAGAAGAACTCTGTGATCAGAAATGTAAAGGCTTGTACATGAACATGTTCATTTCTTTGAATCTCTCACAGTAACGCAAGAAACATAACAAGATCAAGTAAGATACATTACAAAAAACATGTGCCAGTATGGCCCTTGGCTAGCCTTTAGCAGCTGATATTTCCAATGCAGGTTTACAAATATTGAGGCAAATAGTACTCCAGTTATATAGTTGACTGTCTTGTCATTGATAAATACTTTAAATGTAGCTCAGACTACTTCCAAATTATTTGAACCTCAAATATGAACACCTCTTGATAATATCTAAGTATTTGAGTCCAGCTTGATAGCAACACTTTGAAAAGCAAAACAGCATTGGTTTTGGTTCATATTTTGGAAACACTTTAAGTTCTACAGAAGTGACCTAAATGGAGAAGTTGAAAAAAGTCCCAGAAAGCAGCAGTTGACAGACTTCTTCTTTCTTGTTGCAAAGAAAAACACAAGGTTATGTTCATGAAGTCACTCAGAATGAGGTAGATTCCAGAAAGCAGCAGTGACAGACGACTTCTTTCTTGTTGCAAAGAAAAACACAAGATTATGTTCATGAAGTCACTCAGAATGTGGTAGATTTGTCTTAAAGTGTCAGCTCTTCAAGGCAGGTCAGTTCAAGAAAGAGACACCACAGGAACTACTGCAACTCTGTTGTTGTAGGGAAAAACAACAGAATTATGAAAGCTTGGTAACATTTCCCTCTGCTTATGCCAGAATCAAAGCCAGATTACTTTGTGCCTTTTTCTAATGCTTCCTCCTTTTTCAGGACTATGTTGTAGTTCACATTCTCTTTTCTTATCTTTTATCAGTTGTTGTAACAGTTCTTGTACTCCTTCATTAACTTTAGCTTTACATATAAAGAGGGATATAGAGAGGGGGTGGGGAACAATTCAGCAAAGCATAAAACCAATTGATTTTCCATTAGCTTTTCCACTGAGCCTAAGGGAGAATCCAGGATGGATGCGTAGTCTCTAGTCTCCTAGCTCTGCAGACCGAGTTGAAAAACTGAGGACACACCCCCTGGTAACGGTCCCCAGTTCTTCACTCGGTCTCAGCGTGTTCAGACCACCCTTTAAGGGCTCTGAATAGTTAGGATTGTAGAAGAATATTCACCCCCTGGATTAAGCTTTTTTTAGCAAAGAGACTTAGATCAGGTTTGACAGCTAGCCGGCTTGCTGGTTTAGCACTTTCATTTTTTCACACCTTTTTTCTGGTTCGCTTTTTTTTGCTTGTTATTTTAATTTCTTGACTTTCCTTGCTGGTGGACTGGTTTTTATTTTGTTTTCTGCCAAAACTTGAGTGGAGGTGACCCTGAGAGCCTGTGTGGCCCGGACTGGGGCAGGAGTCAGCATCTTATTTAGCCCCCAATCCACTTTCCCTTGCCTGGGACGAGCCGCAGCTGCCGCTAAGCACTTCTGTCACTTTTCGGCGGCAGCGGCCATTTATTTAGTTTGGGGACAATCTTGTAGTTCGTCTCCAGGATTGTCCCTTGGGGGGCTTCTGGCCATCGGGATTAAATCCTGACCCCCCATCCAGTCCCCAGAGCACTGTGGCAGCTGCGAGACGCTTGAGTCTGCCTGATAATCGCGGTGCAGCCAGCGCCAGGCTCGCAAGCCTCTGACCTGTCAGGGCTTGCTGCAATTCAAAGAGGCAGCCGTTTTTTCAACATTTTTTTCCTTGACTTGGCTTTTGAATTGCAGAGCTGGGCTGAACTCACCACTTTGGGTCACACTAGCCTCCTGAAGTAGTGGACAGCTACTGTGGCTGTAGCTGACAGCTTAGGCTGAATATTTTTTATTTTATTTTATTTTTACTTCTTTCTCCCTTTCTCTACCCCTGTCAAATGACAGTTATTTTTGGCGGGCTCAAAGATGGCCGTCAAGGGAGCTGATCAAGAATTGTCAGTTCCTCAGCAGGGTAGAGAGAAAGCTGTAAAGGGATCTCCTAAACCCAGGTCTGCTGGTCTGGAGGCAGCAGCTAGGATTAGAGCCAGGGATCTAGCCCCTAAGAGATCCTCTAGGGCTGAGGATAGACAGGCCAGGCGTAGACAAAAAGCCATAGACAAATAGTTTGACAGGGCAGTGAGAGATTCCAGGATGGCTGAATACAGAGCCACCCCTCAAACTTTGCCTCTTCAAGATGACAGGCAGCCAGACCAACTGGCAGATAGGCAGTATATGACTGCCTAGTCTCCTGGGGACTCAAGTACCCACGATTTGCAGGGTAACCTCCAAATCAGGGCTGAGACCTCTCACAATTTTTCTGAGCCGCCTCAGGGGATCTTGATGGCAACACCTGCAGACCAAGTCTCCAGTGGAGCCAGACCTGTGCCTGCAGTCACCTTTACACCTGCAGCAGCTGGCTTAAGACTGAAGGAGACCCAGATGCAAGAAATGCCATCCTTCATGAGAGCCTGGATCTCCCAGACAATAAGACAGGAATTGCAGGCAGAGGTCAAACAGCTGCGCCAGCTGTCTTATTTGGAACCTAGCAGAGGAGTCCTGCAGGGGCAGGGGCAGGCTTCTGATGAACAGCTGGTCCACTTCAGAGAGTGCTCAGCCTCTCCTTCAGAAAGCAGCCAAATTTATGGGTCCAAGAGGGACCTCCTTCCAGAAAGGGATTTTCGGATGAGGGGTCGGAGGTAGCAGGTCCCCGCTCCCTTAAGGGCCTTTTCCAGCCGGCTCTTTTCAAGACTCTGCTGGTTAAGGCCAAGAGCACGGCTCATCTCAAAAAGGGCACAGTCACTCAGGACCTTTCCACTGAGGGAGAGGATCAGGAGGATTTCCTGTTCACTGAGAAAGCATCTGTGGTAGACACTGTACCTGTGCCCCAGATGTTTCTGAACCTGATCAAAAAGCAGTGGGAGTCCCCTGGGATGTACATTCGCCCCAGTGGGTCTAAGTCTACCTTATTTAATGTGGACAAAGACCTTTTGGACATTATGGAAGTGCCAAAGGTAGATGGCCCAGTGGTAGCCCTAGCTTCCTCATCTGTCATCCCACCTGATGTGGAGGATGTTTTAAAGACAGAGGACCGGAAGGAGGAGATGGCGCTCCAGAGAGCTCATCAAGCCGACTCCTGGGCCATCAGAGCATCGACGACTGCATCTTTTTTTACTCGGGCCTTTTTGTGGTGGCTGAGGCAGCTACAGGACAGAATCCTACCTGAAGATCTCAGGGTGCATCAGGACCTGAATAAGATGATAGCTGCGGCTCAATTGACGGCTGACCTCACGTCAGCCAAATTTTCTTCCAGAGCCATGGCCTCTTCCATAACAGTACACAGGCTTCTCTGGCTAAGATGGACATCAGAACCAAATGGAAGCTGGCGTCGGCTTCCTTTAAGGGAGAGAGGCTTTGGGGGGAAGCCCTGGATCCCTTTTTGACAGAAACCAAGGACAAGCAAAAGATCCTGCCCCCCAGGGAAGGCACTTTGATTACAGGTCTCATCCCTACTACAGGAATCCCTCCTTTAAACAGGGGGAAGCTGGGGCAGGCTTTCCCCGTTAAAGTAGGCCCTTTTTCCAGAGATCCTCCTCTCAGGCCGATAGACAGGCCTTTGCCTCCAGAAGGCGTCAGAGGTAAGAGGGCAGAAGGTCCTTTAGGGGTTCCAACAGACCCTTCAGGTGCAACAAGTGACGCCCGAGCCTCATCCCCCATAGGGGGCCATCTGGATCTGTTCTGGCAGAGGTGGGAACAGACCACAACGGACATTTGGATCCTGTCAACCTTACGGTCGGCTCTCTCTCTAGAGTTTCTCTCCTCCCCCCCCCCAAGAGCCTTTGTGTACTGCCCCATCTCCAGGGACTCCTCAAAGAGGGATCTCATGGAATCAGCGATCCACCATCTGCTGGACATTCAGGCCATCCAGCCGGTTCCAATGGACCAGGAGAGACAGGGTTTCTATTCAATGTTGTTTGTGATTCCAAAGGCCTTGGGAGCAGGGGAGGGGGGGGGGCGGGGCTGGCGAGCAATCCTCAACCTGAAAGGGCTCAACAGACATCTAATCTACTGAAGGTTCAAGATGCACTCCCTCCACTCCATTCTAGAGGGACTGCGGGAGGGAGATTTTTTGGCCTCGGTAGACTTGACGGAAGCCTACCTCCATGTGCCCATATACCCCAACCACTGTCAGTTCCTGAGTTTTTGCTATGGTGGCCGCCATTTTCAATACAGGGCAATCCCATTCAGTCTGTCATCAGCCCCTCAGACTTTTACCAAGCTTGGCAGCAGTAGAGGCATACCTCTGAGCCTTACCCATAAGGATCCAATGCAATTTGGATGACAGGGCTGCCCGCTTAGCGCTCAAGGATCTAAGGCAAGAGGTGGTGGGGAGACATGTGCTTCTCCTCACGGACAATGTGGCTACCAAGGCCCACATAAACCAGCAGGGGGGCACACGCTCCAGATCTCTAATGCAGGAAGCAACTCAATTGTGCAGGTGGGCGGAGAGAAACCTGTTGTCCCTAGGAGCAGAACATATCTTGGGAGTATCCAACGTGCAGGCAGACTGGTTGAGCAGGGCCACAGTCGACCAGTCAGAATGGCGACTGCATCCCAGTCTATTCCAGGAGATGATGGAACGTTTTGGCCGCCTGATTCTTGGATCTCTTTGCATCACCAGAGAACACGCACCTCCCAAGGATCTTTGCTCAATTCCCTGCCCAAGGAGCAGAAGGAGTCAATGCTCTCCAGCACAGGTGGCCCCAGGGACTATTGTATGCCTTCCCCCCCACTTCCCCTGATTCCGGGGGCAATCAGGAAAGTACTGATAGAAAGGGCAGAAGTGCTGTTGGTAGCCCCTTACTGGCCCAGGCGTTCTTGGTTCGCCGACCTGGTGGGCCTGTCAGTTGCCAGACCCTGGAGAATTCCCTTGCACAAGATCTCCAGCCAGGATCCGATCAAGCACCCAGATCCAGCCTGGGTTCAGTTGACTGACTGGTGCTTGAGCGGGGGATCCTGAAACAGGAGAAGTTTTCCACAAAGGTTGTTCAGACCACCCAGGCAGCCAGAAGACCTTCCACGACCAGGATATATAATGCAATGTGGAAGATTTTCTGCAGTTGGTGTGCTTGTCACCAATTGGAACCCATTGGGGTTTCTGTTGCAAAGCGACCACTGCAGCCTGGGCAACGCAGGCATCGATTCTGGACATTTGTAGAGCTACGACCTGGTCATCGGTAATCCCATTCATAAGACATTACAAAATTGACTCCTTTGCCTCAGCGGAGGCGTCCTTTGGAAGATGAGTCCTGCAGGGTGGGCATATAGAGGTGGGGACCTCCGACCAATCCAGATCCCACCCGTAGGACAGCCATCAGCCAGTTTTGGTATGTCCCATCCTGGATTCTCCCTTTGGCTCAGTGGAGCAGGGGGGTTGGTCCTACCTGAATGCTTCTTCTCGGGGAGCCGAAGGGAGAATCCAGTCCCACCCTGTATTCTGTCTGGTTGGAATAGGGAGGAAATGTCCCTTTTTTTCTCAGTATCAATGAACTATCTGTTTGAAGACAAGGAGCAGCTGAATTGGCTTCAATGTTCAGAACTGGGGACCGTTACCAGGGGGTGTGTCCTCAGCCTTTCAACTCGGTCTGAAGAGCTAGGAGACTAGAGACTACCCATCCATCCTGGATTCTCCCTTCGGCTCCCTGAGAAGAAGTGTTCAGGTAGGGCCAATGCCCCTTTTGCCTAAAATGTTTGGGGAGGGGGAGATGATAAGTGTCTTCCAGTACTTGAGGGGCTGTCATAGAGAAGAGTGGGACAACATATTCTCCAAAGCACCAGGGGGAAGGACAAGAAGTAATGGGTGGTAGCTTGTTCAAGAGAGATCCAACCTAGAAATAAGGAGAAATTTTCTGACAGAACAATCAATGGAATAGCCTGCCAGTGCTCCATCATTGGAAATTTTCAAAAATAGACTGAACAACCATTTGACTGAGATGGTATAAGATCTCCTTGAGCAGGAGGGTTGAACTAGAAGATCTTTGCGGTCCCTTCCAATCCTATGATTCTCTGTGTTGTTTTTTTAAAATAATAGACACTTACAGAAATAGGAACCTGTGATCTCCAGATGTTGAAGAACAGCCCCTCCAAAAATTCCTTAGCAATGTGCCTAATAAGTAGAACTGCAGGGAATGTGGTTATGTGACACACAGGCCACTCTTACCTGACCTTAGTCACAGAGCCAAGGGTAAATTCTGAATATGGAACTTGGTCATTACACTGCCCTTTTATTGGGCCGATGGCCTTTCAAAACATATGACTGTAGTGTAAAATGTTTTTGTGAGAAACTGTTATTTTGAATTATTTTTTTTCTCTTAGCGGTCAGAATAGATAACCTGATGTTTTGTCCTGCCGCTCTCATTGAAAACTTTCTTTTGCCCTGCTGCCTTTGAGCTGGATCAGGAGGCATCAGATAATGTATCCCTCATATCAATTGTGATTTAGGTCATGTAAAAATATTTTGCATTTTCCCCTAAGTGTTTTTATACCATCCGTATTTTTCTCATAGACTGACTTTGACAGCAGTTCAGTGAAAAAGGTATGCATTATTGATGAGGTTGGTAAAATGGAGCTCTTCAGCCAGACATTTATTCGAGCTGTCCAACAAATTTTGAATGGATCCGGGACTGTGATACTTGGAACAATCCCAGTGCCTAAAGGGAAGCCTTTGAGACTTGTGGAGGAGATCAGAAATAGAAAAGAGGTGAAAGTCTTCAGTGTAAGTCACAGACAGATCCACTGAGAAGGTCTGTTTTTATTGGCATGCAATGGTCTGACAACTTATTTAACATTTATTTGGAACAGTTCCCTTTGAAAAAACAGGTGCTCGCTTCTACTGGAAAAAAAGTTTATTCTGTGGTGGATTTCTTTTAAGTCTCATGCTTGGGCTTCAGCTGCAACCATCCTCAGATATGAAGTTTAAAGTTCTCCTCCCCTTTACCTAGATTAGAACATATAAAGCGGTCAAAATATTTATATTAAATGGCTGCAAAGAGATTCATTCATTGAGCTTATATACCATTCCATTTTCAAAAGTCTAAACACAACTTTCTCTGAGATGCTTCTAAATGTGGTACTGTAAAATGTGACTTCAGAAATTTCTCAGATAAACAGCAATAGTCAAGGGACTTTCCTAATATTATGACAAGCTCGGGAGAGGGAAACCAAATACGTTATAGAGAATATGGAGACATTTTAGCAAAAAAAAATAAAAAATTGTAAGCATTCCATTATCACTAACACTCTTGCCAGTAGTTGTGCTACAGCCTAATGTTAATAATGGGTTTCATTTATGAATATATCATTGTGTTATATTTGTTATTTGCAATATTAATACTATTAACTCTAACGATTATCACAGTAGTGGTATTCTACCGGTTCGGCCCGATTCAGCTGAACCAGTAGTAAAAAATGCTACTGTTTGGCTGAACTGGTAGTAAAAAAAAAGCTACTGGTTCAGCCTGAACCGATATTTCTTTTTTTTCCCCCTCCTGATGATCAGCTGTTCCGACGATCAGCTGTGCCGGGATGCCCCTCTCTGTCTTACTGCTTCGCCCAGGAGGCAAAAAGGGGCGCATGGGGGGTGGGTGCAAAAAAAAAAAGCCATGCCCACTCGGTCACATGGACACGCCCACCTAGGCACTCCCACCTAGCCACACCCACAGAACCGTAAAAATATTTGCATCCCACCTCTGAGTTACCATATGGTTAGATTCGAAATATCTGGGAAATACAAAACACAACTTCAGCGGCCATTCCAGTGACTAACAAATCAAGTTGTCTTGCCCCACATTTATCTGAATGGAATCTGAGGTAAAGGTAGTGAATTTAATATTTAGTAACATTGCTTATTCTTGTGAACTTTTAAGTAAGTTCCGCAGGTAATGAAATTATTGACAAAGCTTGCCTATGACTCCATGTGTGCCCTGGAGAATCTCTTTGCCGCCTGCACCACTGGAGTGCTGGTTATTGAAACCACCTCTATTGGAGGAAAAGATAAAAGTGTCATGAATAGGCCTGCCTGTGCTTTGAAAATGGTTCAAAAGACATGGCTTGGGCTGAACAGGATCACAGGGCCTCCCTGCTGTTCTTTAATTACACTTTTTATTCCCCAGGCTCAAGTCTTCAGTTGAGTATTTAACTTTATTTTCATAGTGATACCTCTGTTCAGGATCATGCAGAAGGGTGCCGGGACCTTGCTTTTCAAGGTGCTTACTACAAATCCTTTTTTGAAATAGCCCTAGTAAAGAATATACTTTTTTAACCTCTTTTTTTTTTTTCAAAAATTTCCCAAGGAAATGGGGGTGGGAGAAATGCTATTGGGAGCCAGCACCAGGCCTTAGGAGTTGAAGTTTTTAGGTTCTGATGGCATGTTTTAAGTTTTAAGGGGCGTGCATAAGTGCACTATGGTGCCTACCATCCCTGTCCTATTGTCCCCATTTATTCGTACCTATTTCCTGTATTCTTACTCATATTTATACTTATATCTATTACCTTGTAAGCGATTGACAAATCAAATAAATAAATAAATGTTCTATTTTATAACTTGTGAGTTGTGAGCCATTTTCACTCTTGGTCAACTTAAGTCAGTCTCATGTTTCTTTGTTTCTAGCTCCTAAAACAAAATGTCACATTCTTTTAAATGAAATCTCATCAAACCAGAGGTACCAGACATAAAATCAATGCAGGAAAATGACCAAGATGTTCTTGATTCATTTAGGCCAATTTATTTTGATACAAGCTTCAAGGACTATAGATTTATAGTCCCGTTTCTTTTTCCCCCACCTCATTCCTTCTTTTTTTCAGATACCCCACAAAAACGACGCCCTGAGTGAGTCCACAGGCTGATTCCGTTGCCCATCCTGATGTTTCCTCCCCCATTTGTCTAATTTAACTCCTAATTTAACTCCAGCATTCTTGGAATACTGGAACGTATTACTTTCAGTGTAAATATCTGGGCTACAAATCGTTTCACACTTTGGAAATATTTTTTGGGGGGCACAGATTCTTTTCAGAGCCCTGCCTTTATACTAAAACATCCAGTACATAAATCTTGTATACTTTCGTTGTTTTAGTGATATGCAATCTATTTCTCTGAATGTCTATATAGTTTTACATCTGCAGTACTGTGCACAACCTACTTAATCTGCATGGGTTCTTTATCAGTTGAAAGCAAATAATTTTAGGAAAAAAAGTCAGAATCCAAAGGACTGTTCCTTCCTAATATGGTAATAAAGGAATTCTTTGTACATTATAATTAAAAACAATAACTATCTGAGAATTGGACAATTCTTCATTTGTTCTTGTTCTAATTAGGGACTACTTTAATGCAGTGCATTTTGGCTACTTCAAATAAATGAAAACTGATATTAATCCATATTTTAAGTATATTCTTTTTTTTAATTTTAGATTACGAGAGAGAATCGAGATGACATTTTGCAAGAAGTTGTGACAGCTGTGCAGAACTGCCTAAAATGAGATGTTTGTCTTTGCATCCCATCTTCTGCTGATTATAGTTTGACATTATTTTCATTAATATCTACAACTTAATTAACTTGGAATAGGCTGGTGTCGGTGTTTCTTGTTTCACATGTGTTTTCAGAAGTTGATTTCTGAATCAGAATTAATAGGAAAATAAATGCACAATACACAAACACAGCTACACATTCACCACCACAATGATTAGCTTCATCACAATACTGAGAATCCGGTCTTTAAATTGATACCTTTTTAAACTGATGTTAATACTGAAAATGTTTGAACAATATGCTGTGGTTCAGTCTGATCAGATATTTTTTTCACTTATAGCACTACATTCTAGAAGGTGGACTTTCCCATGATGTAAAAACTTGCCAAAGTCCTAACATCTATTCTTCCATTCTCTTTCCCTCACCCAGGGTCTTATGCAGTATATACCCATTATGCAATGAACATTTTTTCAGGATTACTATAAGTTAAAGAAAGGGGTAGGCATGGAAAACTAGAAAAAGGGAGATTTCTCAAATGCCAATGAATTTTCTTTAATTTACAAAACTGAGCTCTTTTAGAAATTTGTCAAGGGCATAGCTAAAGCATTTTGATTACTAGTTATTAGCTTTTATATAGTTTAAAAAACACTTTTCACCGGTGTTTAGGGATCTCAGGAATCAAACATCTTAGATTAGAGAGTTGCCTCTGAAAATAAAGTTAAAGATGACTAGAAGACTGGAAACAAGACGCTTACATGTATCTATCTAGTGTTATTTTGGGGTTATTTTTTTTTAAAAAAATGATTTTATAATGTTGGTGAAATCAGATTTTCCAAAATCCCTTTATCCCTTCATTTGTTTGTTCATTCATTCAGCTCTTAACTTCTAAACATTTATCAAATATTTCCTAGCTATTTATTTCTTCATGGAACGTATTTCTCTTGTGAATAAATTTTTATTTCTCTAATTCAGCTTGACATTTGATGCACCAAGTTAAATTGTTGTTGTGCTCAGTAACATGTAACATTTTTTTAATTTCGTTTGCACCTTTTTTTTGTTAATAAAGAAGTTATAAATTACTGTGACACAACATGCATCCCGCAAGACCTCTGAATGGTGTTCAGGCAAATTGTTTACCATTTAATCAGTTTAGCATATCATGAAAGCTAAATTCCCAGCCAGGTGCACATGTTTTCATACGCTGCAATGTTTTTTTTGGCGCCAGCAAAAAAATGTAAAGATACTCAGCCGTTTTTCTTTTGGAATGTGAAATGTAACATATGTTCAATTAAAGCATTCTTTAGTCAAAGGAATGTAGAATCGCACATTGTTTTCAAAGCTATTTATTTAGATAGCAGATGTAGTTAGTCTACGATAACAAAAATCCATTAGGTGAATTTTTTTTCTTCCATGAGGCTACAGCTGAGATCCCTAAATCTTTTTGAACTCTGAATATTTGGAAATGTGTGAACTTCTGTTCACACCACTACAAATATCTACGGTGGGGAGCTGCATAGTTACAAAAGGCTAGTAGCTTGGCAAAGAAACGTATACTATACTAAAGTATTAATCTATTTTATGCCACCAAGCCCAACCTTTCATTTCACTGACAGATGTCTGGAGAAGCTTTTATAAAGATGGATAGAAAAGTTAAATCCCCAGGCTTGCTCTATCATCTCCATCTCTCTCTGTCTTTCCCTCTCTCCCTTTTTATATATGTGCATGCATATGCACACACATCATCCGTCCATCGATCCATCCATCCATTCTATAAGCAACATAGAGAACATATGTGAAATGGTTGCTCCCTTTTCAGTCTCAAACGTATCAGGTAGGAACATCTCAACTGTCCTATAATTAAAAAAAAAATACTCTAGATCCCATATGGAGAGAAGGAAGAGATAGAGCTGACTTTCTGGCCAACCAAGTAAATGTAAAAGATTTTCTTCAGGAAAATGCCTAGATGTACTACCGGTAGTAGAAACTATCTTTCTGCAATTATTATGGAGCTTTTGCCTGTCAAGAGTAGAGTTTCTAAGTTCCTATATCTTAAAAGAAGTGTCAGAAAGTCTTGAGTTTATTCCCCTTCATCCTCTTATATAAGGTGGAGAGTGTTCATACTCACTGCAAGTGACCACTTGTCATAAAAATATCTTATAGGGCAATGACTTGTTTCTGTTGAGCCTCCTTCCTTGCTACTGGTTCGGTAAGCTATTTTCTGCAGTGCAGCTGTTTCATGTAGCATTTGGAGGCCATTTAAAGATGATACCATCATCCCAAAAAAACATGCCTCTCAGACATAAGAAATAGAGAAACAATAATTAAAATGCCCACACTGCCATATGATGAGATCTAATAAACAGAATTAGCTTAATAGCTTATTAATCTGAATTTGAGAAGGATCAAAAACTTCGTTATGCAAGAAATACAGCCGTGGAGCGGGTATCTTGTATGACTGGTCTCCAGCCCCTGTGATCTATCTGCAAGGTTTGTAATTACTAATATTATACGTATTAATTATAATGGAATATTTTATATTTGGCTTCTTATATAATTCAAGAATCATCAAGAAAGAACCAATGCATAATTCAAGATCAAAAGTGTCCAAAAGAAAAGTTTCTTTGCTCAAATTGTATTGGGTCTCTGCTGAAGATAAATTACAGAGCTCTCCAATTCACAGTAAAATAGTTTTTTTCAAATGAATTGAAAAGAACAATTCCAAAATAAAAGATTAGGGCTTGCGCAAACCACTCAATGGTACTGGTCTGCTACACGTGAACACACTTCTTGATCTAAAGAAGAGGCTTGCCAATATTCCAGTCCATATGTAAATTATGAGAATAGGTTAAGGACTATATTATATCCTTGTGCTTAGCATGAAAAGTGAAAAAGCTGAGTTCACATCCAATTTCCTAGAGACAATGGACTTAACAAACAGCAACAACAGCAATAAATTTGATACAGTTCCTGGCTATATATTTATCTCCATAAAAAGCTTCTAAAGCAAAATTTTCCCCCAATTTCCTTTCTGGATATTTATAAACATTTCTTTTAGGTTCCAAACTTTAACGAGAGGTTATAGGGAATAATTATCCATTTTCGAGTCTCAGTCCACCTGAAGTTTTAAAACAATCAGATTTTCTGTCTCCTTTTCTGTACATGACCCAACATGGCTTTCTAACTTGCAGAGATGTATATTGATGGTGTGGCAAGGGAAGCCACCTTTCCATGGCCAGGCATGTAAGAGTTAGCATGTGTCAGGCCCCCAAATGAACATGCAGTGTTTCTTTCAAACCGAGTTCTTTTTCCAAACCCTATAAGCAGAATCTTCCCAAAGTGAAGCACTCTGCTATCTCTATCATATACTCTGAGAACTATTGTGGAGAGGCTGCTTTCACCTTCTTTTCTCTCCCACACAACGTATCTGAACTGACCTGTCTGTAACCTTCTTCCTTGTGGGAATCCAGTCTAGTATATTCCATCACAGCCTGTCTGGCAAGCCCTACTTACATTCCTAACAAGTGTTATTACTTTGAGTACAAGAAGTCTTTGTTTAAGTGGCTACTCTGTTGCTACATTACATAGTTGTTAAGTGAGGCATCACATGACCATGACCTCAATCCCACAGTGGTCATTAAGCAAGTCACCCCGATCGCTAATCAAGACATCATATGACTGGGCCTTGCAATTTTACTGCCAGCTTACTCTGCTTGTTGGGTGCTGGCTGTGAAGCATGCAAATGGTGATTATAGCAATAGCATTTAGATTTATATACCGCTTCACAGTGTTTTACAGTTCTCTCTAAGTGGTTTACAGCACATTGCCTCCAACAATCTGGGTCTTCATTTTACCAACCTTGGAAGGATGGAAAGCTGAGTCAACCTTGAGCCGGTCAAGATCAAACTGCTGGCAATCAGCAGAATTAGCCTGCAATACTGCATTCTAATCACTGCACCACCACAGCTCTTTATGGTCATTATATGTAATACACCGTGGGGCGCATAAATGCCTCCTGGTTGCAAAGAACCTGAATCCCTTTTAAATGTAACTTTATTACATTTCAAAAACAAGTAAAAAATAAGACAAGCAAAAAGAAAAAAAATGAAAAGGGAAGAAAAGGCATTTGAATCTTGATCACGTGACATGAGGATACTGTGATGGTCATAAGTGCAAGGACTGGCCATAAATATTTTTTCCAATGCTGTTTTAAACGTTAAGCAAGGACTACCTGTAATCTGAACATTTAGCAAAGCCCAAAACATTTTGGCAAAAGAACTTAATATGCTATTTCATACGCTGAAAAATCAACTGTGTTATAATATAGCCCTTTTCTATTGCTTCTGTACCCTTGGTTTTGGACCTACAAATTCTTGCATGTTCCAGACATCCACCACTGCAGGTTTTTTCAACATTTTACAACCAATCTTTTCGTTCTCCCCCTTTCGTGTATGATTTGTTGGTGTACATACCTAAAAAATGATTTGGAATGGACCTTGTTACAGCACAAGCATTGGCACTACTTTTTCAATAAACTTAAGCTTTTTTCCTGGCTCCTATATAAATCTAGAACAAAAGTGGTGGCTGCTTTAAGAGTTAGTTTAATTTTAAGGTGTCTCAAAGCAGGTACAACTTTTTTTCAGATTGATTAGGCGCCATCAAGTCATTTTCGACTCTTAGCAATCTCATACATAAAATTTTCTCCATAAACGTTTTTCAAACTCACAAAGTCTGCTTTAATGAATAAGATGGAAGTATTGCATTAATGTGGACCATTTGGAGTCTTTTCAAATCATTTTCAAAGCATACATAGACCTGGTGGAGACATCCACATATTTAGCATCAGTTTATAATGGTATTTAAATGCATTACAATGCTACTTTCCAATCTTTGGCTGTGTATTTTAGCAGAATGTGTAGTTCTTATCAGTTTCATACAGCTTAAAGCATTCTGCAGAATGTGGTGGTTCCTGACATAAAATATACATTGAACTTAATGAAAGAGGGGTATAAATTAACAGCACAGCAAATCTCTGCATTCAGAGGTTTCTAAATTTGGTTTCTGGAACCTCAAGTTAACACTTTTCTGTTAGCTAGGCTAAAATAGGTTTTTGCAGGTCATAAAGGTCTCAGTGAGTCAAATGTGTGGTAAAGTAGCCTTGTCTTAAATGACTAAATAAATGATATAGAAAATCTCTCCTTGACACAGCCTGATTGATTGTATTAATATTCCAGCACAATCTGGTGACTCTCAGCAGCTCCCCCGATAAAATATCTAAACATTATGACTGATTTCTCCAAGTCAAAACTGTGCTAGAGAATAAGATGTGTGCTAAAATTATTCATTTATTTATTCCATTTCTATAGCTGCTCTTAGCAAAGTGAATCTGGGTGTCGAAAATGATAAAATTAGTTAGAAAACAAATTTGTATGTCTCTCTGTGTTTGTGTCTATATAAGCTAAGAAAAATCAAGTTATAAATGTAGCTAAGAAATGGAGTCCTAACCACACTTGGGCTCCGGTCTGGGGATGTGATTAGATCTTCAAGGCCTTATGAAAGGCCAAGAAGACTGGGGGCTCTAGAGGGAGAAAACACCTCCTAGTCCCCACTAGCCAGCATTCCTTGGCTAATAGGAACCATAGCATGCTCAACCATTTGGGCCAGATTGGACAGGTAGAGACAACTGAGAAAAGACAGTCTCTTAGATAACTCAGTTTCATGCCATGAAGGGCTTGTACTGTGCAACTTGAATTGCATCCATAAGCACACTGACAACCAATGCAGCTGAAGTAGTAGTATAGTTACTACTTCTGATACTGTTTACTATCTGTGCAGCTGCATTCTGCACCAGGTCAAGCTTCTGAGTTCTCTTCAAAGGCAGCTTCATGTAGAACACATTGCAGTAATCCAAACGAGAGCATAAGGGCATGAGTGACTGTGACCAAAGCTTCCCAGGAATGGGCACAACTGGCACACAACCCAAAAATGTGCAAAGGCCCCCTAGCCACAGCTGCCACTGATCTTCTAGCAGGAGCTGTGAACTCAAGAGGACCTCCAAATTGTTTACCGGTTTGTCTGGGACAATTCCACCCCATCCAGGAAAAACATCACTGGAAAGCTCAAGTACCCAAAGCCTCCATTTTGCCAGGATTGGGTCAAAGCCCATTACATTCTATCCAGGCCCCTACAGGGACAAGACATCCAGAGATGGAGCTAAAAAGCTAAGTATTATCAGCATACTGATGGTATCTCACACCTAACCATCAGTGGCTTTGTGTTAAATGAGAGAAAGTGGCCTTGTGTTAAATGAGAAAAGAGAGAGAAC